GTATCGACGTCAGTGGTACGAAAAATGACGTCACCAGACGCATAGAAATATATGTGTAACGGATTCTGACATATGTAATGTTCGTCGTATTATTCGTTTTTTAACACATGTGGATAAAGAACGGTTCTACTCTGGCCGTGTACGGAAATCTTTTGGAGATTACGACGATGCCAAGTGCGATCTCTGATTCCTATTAGATGTGATACTAGCGGAATGTGAATACTTATGCGAATTTAAATTTTTATGATTATAATTAAATAAAATGATATCTAAATAAAAGTGTTTCATCATTATGTAAATATTGTAATGAATATTTTATATATTTTTGTATATTGTATATGAATTTATTTTTCTACAAAAAAATTCATAGATTAATTGTTTGATGAAGATGCTGTATTAAATAATTGATCATGATGCAGAAATGCAAAGTTGGTACTAATTTTAATAAGTTCCATCTGAAGATTCTGTTGCAATTGAATTGCTGTATTTTCATCAAATTTTTTGAGATTAATTTGGAAACCATTTGAAAGATGTTTGAAAAACATGAGAATTCAAAAGAATTCTTGAAACGAATGTATGTAAATAAAGATCTTTTCAACTATTAATTATTAATAACGTGTATTTTATTTTGGTATCAAGTATATTTTGTATATTTTAAAGAATTTTTTCTAGACGATAGATTTCGCTTAGAAATAAAAGAAGATATTTCATTTATTTTACACGAGCTTGAGATTTTTAATTTTTTTTTGATAATTTTCTTTCTTGAAAGAAGAAGTTCTTTATGTAGCAACGTCTGCGCCAATGTGTTGCCATATCGCATCCACCACTCGACAATTAGAAAGGCATTGTGGAAACGCGCTTTTCAAAGAGACTGGTCGATACTACGACTTAGAATCAGTGAAGGGAAAAGGAATTCGTTCTTATCATTCTCAAGGTAATGTCACGAGGTCAAGGTAAGAGTAAATACATTCACCCTGAGCAAGTATTATTTGTTAATTAAGCGTTAATTTTCCATATCTTAAACGCGTATTCCAATTAAATTTCTCTCCTACATTATCTACCATTTCTTTATAATAAATTTTAATAATTATCTTGAACAAATAATAAAACCTTTGTTACTCTTCCATAATAAATTTTATCTATTTTAATCTCAATTAATTAAAATCTTTCCTCATGAATTTTTTAAATTAATCTTCCATATTATAAATTTCCAAGAAGATATCCAAGAGAAATCAATTAAATTATCGTAAACGTCATCGCGACGTGAATTACGATTCAATGTAAAATATGAAGAAGCTCAAAGGAGATAACGTTATTAATTGTGGTTGGTACTAATGAGTACGTCTTCATCCTCACGTCTCACGTGTCAAAGAAGTATCACTTTAAGGTAGAACATCTTGATTAGACCTCGACTGTTTCTCTGTTAATGATATTTATCACCGTGATCCACGTTAATGAGAATAATTATACCCAATGACTATTTGATCATTAGAATGATATTCATAACTTCGACTGAAGATATTCTTCTAATTTCTCTATCATTTCATAAAAATACTTTTTTCTCATTTTGATAATCATAAGCATTGTGTTTATTTTATTGCACTATCTCTAATATAAAACGACTTTGTCTTTGAGATAGGGATAACACAATAGAGATGTGCTTTGCATTCAACAATGCAAAGTTTCTAGGAATTATTGATAAGGATGTCCATCTTTGATATCGAGTCATCCTCGCGAAGAAGTGCATCATTTCATAGATATACACTATAACGCTTTTTAATAACTTTTTACATATCATTTTAACTTTATCTCTTTACTTAAAATTACAATCAAAAAACGATTCTTATTCTGTCTCCATTCCTCGTAAAGTAAATTACGATTTCTTATTTACATATTATATTACTTCTTTCATTCAATCTTCGATCGAGTAAGGAAACAAAAATTCAAGAAGTATGCACATCTTTTCATGTTCATCGTTACATTCAATTTCCTTTTTGCATTGTAATTTCGAGGAAATGGCTACACATACACCCACATACTCGTGTATTGGCTCGCGCGCGCGGTGGTCCTCGTGCGTGTATATATGTATACCTTCTCGAAGAGCGGCCACTTGACGATGCATGAGCGGCGCGAACACGTAGCATTCTATTCGCGGCACAATTTTCGAGGATCGATATATCGAGCGGCGTGTCCCGTCGGTCGACGACGATGTCTTCAAATAGCACGGTAGTTAACGTCTCTAAGAGTTACCCTCGAGAAGGGTGGGCGAGAGGGAAGACTGCAGGATCCTTTCCCCTTTCGATTCTTTTTGCTTTCTCTTCCCCGTTGTCATCGATGACGTTCCTTCCTACATCCTATTTTCTTTCGTCATGCTCGTCTCTTTTCGTTATTTTTTTCGATCTCGATCGTTAAAAATCGAAAATGATACTCGTGTTTTGAAGGGTTTCAAGTAGCTGCGAAAAGAAAATTATTATGAATCTTTTTTATAAATAATTGATTCGAGTTAAATTCGAGAATCATTTGAGATGCAAAGAAAGATTATTAGATATATTTATTGTATTATTAATTTTGCAAGCTTCTTCTTCTTATAAATTAAATTAAATTTACGAAAAAATAAAATCAAAAAGGTGATTTTCTTCGTTTAATTTAATATCTGAATTAATTATATTATTCTGTATTTTGTACGATTTTTTTTATCAATTACACACATTAAATATTTTTTCGTTTCCCTATTTAACTAGTCGAGATCTTGTCAGAGAATTGAGATGATTTTGGCTTCTTTAAGTTGCAACGGCAACTCAAAGAAACGCGGCGTGCATGAAAGCGGCGCCTTGATATTCTGTACTTTTCACTACTCGTTACGTGCATCTCTAGAGGATTCTAACAAATAAACACGCGCAATGAATCGTACTAATGGATCTTTCAAAAACAATTTAGATACGGAATTTTTTAGAAAATAATAGATTCTTATTCGATCATTGAAAGTTAATTATTACAAATTAAAATTGAAACAAGTGATCAATAAAGTAATTTTGAAAAATGAATTTAAAATTTACCAAAGAATTTCTAGATTTCTTTTATATCAACAATACATTATTTAAAAAAAATATTATTTATATAATTTTTTCAAACATATAAATCTGACTCCTCTTCATATCCTCTTGTAAAATCTCCAATCGTTAATTCTCTCCCTCTCTCTCTCCAAAAGAACAAGCCTATCTCTCTATACATCCGACATCATCCAAAATAACTAACTGGCATGCGATGCCCGTTCCATCATCCCCCTCGATCGTGCGTTATTCTTCCCCTTTAGCCGTTCATCTTTAGCAATTAACGCGTTAAATGTGTTCGAATCGCGAAGCATATCCATATCTAAAGCGGAGGATGCCACGGTGGATGCCGCATTGGGGTAAATTCGTGTCGTTGGAACCATCTCTCGTGACGCTTTACGGACCCACCGGGGATTACCACCACCTTTCTTTCTCCACGCCACATCCTCCTTTCCTTTCGTCTCTCTCTCTCTCTCTCTCTTTCTTCCTCTCCTTCTCACCATTTCGAACAATCCTCTGTCTTCATTCCTGTTACTGAACCACTGTGTGTGGCGAGGAGAGAGAGAGAGAGATTCTTTTTTTCCCCTTCCTTTTTCCCCTCCCCCTATTCTTCATCCCTCTGTATCGAGTTAAGAGGAAGAAGCGGCGGGGGTGTAGGCAGGAAAGGTGTGTATCGTTGTACGCCACCGGTGATGTGGTCCACCACCTCCATCGCCACCACCACCGCTACCAACGAGCAACCACCTCCACCTCTGCCTCTCTACCTCGTGAGCGACGATGAGGATTCTGCAGCTTCGGCAAAGTCGTTTGAAGAAGTCAGTCGACGGTTGCACGTCCCCGCGATTCGGGGAATAACGATCAAGGGGGAAGAGAGAGAGGGAGAGAGAGAGGGAGATAGAGGGAGATAGAGAGAGGAGAGAGAGAGAGAAGAAAGAGAGAGAAGAAAGAGAGAGAGAG